CGATTCCCCCTCCCCAGGAGCCCTCATTCTGGATCCATTGACAGTAGTCGTCCGGCTTCTTTTCCAACACCGCCTCGGTATATAGGTCCGGGTTTGCCTGTATAGTCTGGGCAACAACAGATCGTAGCTCAGTCATCACATCCACCCCACCCATGGTCGCGCTACTGATGGCGCGGAATAGGCATGAGTTATCGTCAGGCATGATCCGGAGGACGAAGGTACCATGATGTTCCGGTGATGGAATCTCCGGCGGGTCATCGGAGCCCTCATTCAGAGCCTTCTCAGCGAGCAGCCCGGTGAACGGCTGTTGCCGATCAGTAGCAGTCTTGTATTGATCGCGGCTCGTGTCAGAGGGTAAGCTGCCTTCTTTCCTCGTGACAATTAATTGTTCCCCATTCAGAGTCATCTCCAGGTCGGATAGTTTCTGGTTAGATGGGAAGCCCTCTAATGAGAGTGGCTTGATTTGTGGATACCCATATTTCACGTCGTAATCTGATAATCCGGTCGAATCTGTGATTTGTCTGCGAAGTACATCGACAGTTGCATCGTCATCTAGAGAGACGGTCGATTGTCCCGTCGGGCCGCGTATGCGGATTCTCATTGTGGCTCAAAGCGAAGACAGAAGAATAAGTCCTCGATCTGTCGGGTGATAGATTTTTGTGAGTGAGTGAGTGAGTGTGCATCAGTATGTGTATATCTAGATGGCATTTGACCACTAGCTGGGAAAAATAGCCTTGTCGCACTAGTCTGGGTTGCTCAGATGTTGCTATGAGTTTTATGGATAAGCATTTATATAGGTAGGTTGAGGTAGGTCAGGTAACTTTTCCCTGATTCACTGGAAGGTGGGGCATGGCTGGAGGGTGCGCATCTCCTGAAGTCGCTGGCGGCAAGCTGCACGATCAAATTCGGCACTAGGGTACTAGTCAATTATCAGTTGAAGGTTAGTTGATAGTAACTTATAATTGATTTCAGTTCAGTCAAACAGTCAAAAAGCTTTCTTGTTGGGCGAATGCAGGAGGATGTTGCTCTATTTCATCAAGAGGAGATACCAGCCACCAATTAAGCAGCGTGGAGGCTCGGAGCCGAAATTGTGCAGCCAAAGCCTGAACTGTATCGGTACTCTTATTTGATATGAGAGATAGACTATAGTACAGTACAACCAGCGGGGGCGAAGGATACAAGATAATCTATATTAATCGAGTTTTTATCCTACACTATATCCCTACGGAGTAGAGGGCACGATACATCGCTCGCTGGCTATGTGGTTTGATCAGTGTGCAGACTTACTTATAAAACGGTATCTTATAGTAGGGGACAGTCTTGTTCTATCCTTGAAAGCGGTAATACCGTAATTGGGCTGTTATGATACACATCGGCTGACTCAGCATAGTTGGTGAGTGATCTCGTCCTTCCTTCATGCTTCTTTGTGCACTCTCTCCTTATTCTATGTCGCATCCCCCTCATATCACCCTCATTTACTGAATCCAAAATCTTGTCTCACGCTGGTGGTAGTTCAATCCATTCGGCTTGGTCCTGATTTGCGGTCCTTCTCTCCGTGGCCGCGGCTATCTTGAAAGATGGAGACAAACATCTCCGAGCCGTCGCAAGCGCAACCTGCTGCTGAGGAGCCGGTGAAGTCCATCGAAGGCGATGGCAAACGCGATGGCTCGGTCGCAACTAGCACTGTTTCCGACGAACAATACAGATCTATGATGGATGTTGTCATGGCAATTTACGAGTTCAGAGAAGAGGAGTGAGTCCGGCCTTTCTTGTCGCAGCTTCATTTCGCCATTTGTGCGCTTTGTATCGCATCTCCCCCCCCCCCCCCCCCGCAAAGCATTTCAGCTAGCTAACTGACCACTTCACCATCAACGCAGTGGCCATGATCCGTCCAAACTGTTCCAACGCAGCGTCAATAAGCGCCTCGTTCCTGACTATTATGACATTATTAAGGAGCCGATGGCACTCAGCATTCTGAAGCAGAAGATCAACAAACGTGAATATAAGGAATTCGCTGACTTCGTGCGCGACTGCGCACTGGTATGTAGTACTATCATTATCTTGTGATTCATGCATCAATCCCGTGCCTGTTCCACAAGGAGTAATGTTTGGCAGCAACTGACATGGCTTTGGCACTAGATCCCCCATAATGCACAGACTTATAACCGCCCTAAGTCTCAGGCTTACGAAGATGCACTAGTCATCAAGGATGTCTTCGTCGCCGAGTTTGAGAAGTTGGTGAAACAAGGCATTATCTCCGCAGAGGATGCCGAACTCCCCGACCTTGGGGAGATCCCTGAAGCAGACCCTCTCCCTGAAGAGGATGAGGAGGAAGATGATGATGATGACGACGACGATGAAGAAGAGGATTCCGATGAAGAAAGTCGACGCAAAAAGAAAAGGGGACCTCGTGCAGGCAGCAAACGTGATACGGCGAAAGACGATGGCCAAAAGTCCAATGATCCGGAAGTAAGGAAGAAAAGAGGCAGACCGCCGCGTGTCGATACCCCTATGGAGGCAAGGATCAAAGCCGTTTTAAAGGGCATCCGAAAGCTAAAAGGGCCCAACAATCAGCTCAAAGTGCGACATTTCGAACGCTTACCCGACAAGGCCATGTATCCGGACTACTATGTCGAAACCAAGGAACCGATTGCCATCGATATCATCAAGCGCAAGTCGAAAAGAAAGAAATACAATTCGGTAGATCATTTCATGAGAGACATGGAACTCATGTTTAACAACGCGAAGGCCTATAATCAACCCGACAGTCAGATCTACAAGGATGCCGTTGATTTGCAATTGGAAGCACGCAAGCTTGCTGACCTTGAGAAGAAGAAGCCAGACAGCGAGTACCTGATGGAGGATGGACGTTTGCCGTTGCCGGACGGAATTCTTCACAAGTCGGAACTATGGAGGGTTGGCGATTGGGTCCATATCCAGAACCTTAATGACGTGACGAAGCCTATTGTGGCGCAAATATATCGTACATGGCAGGATTCAGAGGGAGAGAAATGGGTCAATGCTTGTTGGTATTATCGCCCCGAACAAACGGTCCATCATGTGGAGAAACACTTCTACCCCAACGAGGTGGTGAAGACAGGACAATACCGCGACCATCGGGTTGAAGAGATTGTTGATAGATGCTTTGTCATGTTCTTCACCCGTTACAATCGCGGACGGCCTCGAGGCCTACCTCCCAACAAAGATGTCTACGTTTGCGAAGCCCGCTACAATGAAGAGAAGCATAAATTGAACAAGATCAAGACTTGGGCTAGTTGTCTCCCCGATGAGGTCAGGGAAAAGGACTACGAGATGGACTTGTTCGAACTTCCCCGACGGATCAAGAAGATCCCAAGCCCCATCAAACACTTGCTCAGAACGGATGCAAAGGAAACCGATGAACTTCCAAAGCCAACATGGGGAGCTGAGAATGCACCGCCTGTTGTTGGCGCGGTTCATCGCCGCCCGCGTGATGAGAACGTAGGGCCCCTCAAACATTTCACTTGGCGTCAATTGTGAGTGAAAAGAAAAATACAAATAGATACTGATCCTTTTTTCTGGGTTCTAGGAATCACCACCTCCGGAGCCCACGCCTTCCCCACCCCCGTCATTACCACAGCCAGCTTTGCCCTCAGCTCCACTTCGGCAGTCATCAATCAGCCAAATCCCTCCGCGGTCCAGTGTAGAGAGTCAAGGCACGGGCGCCGCGGCGAGCGCATTACCTGCTACGGCTCGCTCGCCAGCTGTAGCCATACCTCCAACTCAGAGCTCGCCAGCCCCGGGCCCGCCGATGGCTTTTTCTCAGCCCCAGATTCCTCCGACTCAGCCCTCCCAGCATGGGTTACCGAGAAGCTCCAGCGGGTTCGTGCCGCAGACCCCACACCCTAGCGCCTACCAAGCTCCGGTTGTGTCCCATCATTTTTCGGCCGCCCAATCAACACCTTACATGCCGTATCAAGGGAACCGTCTACATGGGTCTACGGTGACAACCTTCAATCCTAATGCTCCTCGTCCCATTGAAGTCTTCCATCTGAGTGATACTGCAAACGCTGCCATACCCGCAAATGTCCGCGAACAGTTCCACTGTGATGACCAAGGTCATATCCTCTTCTTCTCGACCCCGCCGCTAGACATCATTTCTTCCTACCAGCAGAAACTGGGACATTCTCTCAAGTATCTGGCCGCAAAGGAGGAGCGGCGCAGACTAGTCGAGACCAAGAAACGCAAAGGGACGCAGGATCAAGTGGGACAGGCATTAATCGTCAAGCGCCGGCGAGCAGATGAGAAAGTTGCTCTTGCAACTCAAGTCGAGATGCTCACAGTCAAGGCTTGGGACACCATGACAAGTCAAATTGTGGCAGGCACAGACAAGCTTTATGAGATTTTGTATCAAAACGAAGGAGAAAGTGTCAGGCGAGCAGAGATCAAGGCACACGAGCAGCGGAGAATAGCCGATCGAGTCTCGCAAGAGAAGACAGCGCATATACAATCTCACTCACAGGACGCACCGTTTGTCAGCCTCAAAGGCAGTGCCATGTACATGTCTGATGTTGACACGAAAAGCTGACGGAAAGGAACACTTCCTTATGACCCACTGTTGACTACTCGGCGTGCATTCGAAATGGCGGATCGAACACAAACTAGAGTGCTCTTGTCGAGTGAATCGTGGCTAATATGGCGAATTTCTGAATTGGGCGTTGGGAAGTACTATGAGCTATTTATGTATACCATGACAAGTCTCATCAATTATGACCAGGGTGATCATAGTTATGCTTATCTCGTCCCAAATAGTCATTGTATGTCTGCTTCTTTCTCCCCCCCCCTGCTACATCGACAATTCATGGCATCTCGATGGAATCAGTTCCATTGGAGGAAATTGTAGAAGGGACAGGCAGATTTCGTACGCTTAATGAATGACCCATCTTTTCATAAAAATACGTGGTCGAAATTTCAGAATTGAATTCGCAAGCAAAAGAACAATGAGAAGAATCATCAAAATGAAAACAGAACATACAAACCTAGAAACATAGCAAAAGAGCTAGGAGCGTAACCCTCAACACCATATTGACTGCTGGCTGCAGGCCGATAACCTAGAAGTAGAACAAGCACAGATCGTGCGAGAAAAGCATGCTTGGAAGAGGGAAGTGATATATGCAAGTAAGAATGTACACTAGGTGAAGATAATAATAACCATACTGCTGCCCCGAAAGAACAGCCAATCGACCTTGTGCATGTTGTTTTTTGTCGGAATTTGGATGTGCCATGTAAGGTAGTGATATGGCGTAATGAACAGTGGGAGACCCCAAAAGGCCAGGATAGTGAAGAATGATAAGGGAAAAGACCAAGTGGGGAGTTACAAGCAAAATTAGGGACAACCCGGCCTCGTTACAAAACATCACTTGTCTAAAAGATCATATAATGCAACACAATGGCGAACATCAGAGGCAGATGCAGTATAACTCCAGAAAAAATTCAACAGTTCTATGAAAAATTCCCTCCAACATTTTTGTGTAATCTTGAATGACGTCATAACTAGACAGGGGCATGAACTGGTACCCACCTATGATGCTAGCTTGAGCTCTTCTGTGCGAAAAGGCTTGGTAGATTTAGGTTCCCAAATACAAGTTCGATTCCTTTCTTTCCATTGATAGGATTGATGGGGCATAGAGTCGATTATTAGGCATCGGTAGCGGTAGTAGATTGAAGTGCGATAATGTTTCAACGAGTTAAGACTGGAATTCTGGGTTGTTCGCGGGAGTCGGCTCATCGTCATTTGAATCTGCCTTGTGAGAATCCCAAGAACTGCTGCTTCGCTTGTTGTTCTCCTCTTCTTCCATGGAGAAAACCAAGTCACTTTGCTCTTCGTCAATCTTGCTGGTGCTGACCGGCGATGAGATGGTACGGTCCAGACGGCTGCTAGGGCCTGCAGATGCCGAATGGCGAGGGGGGCCGGGGTGTAGAGACATGCCACTGAGCTGTTGAGAAATCATGGACATCGACGGTTGGCGAGGGGCACTCGACACGAACGGAGAGATGTCTCCAGAGATCTGCCGGCTGCCGATTGGGCCCAGGCTTGGGCTGGTGCCTAGGTTCAACGAAGACTCGCGCAAAGGTGAGCCAATGTGTGTCAGAGACGTACTACCATGGGCGTCTTCCTCTCGCTTCTGCCGCTGCTTGGCAAACAAAGCCCCGAATCGGGACGGGCTGGAAGCCAAGGGAGAGCCCACTTTGGAGAAACTGGTGCCAGTCATGCCCAATCCGCTGAGCTCCCGATGGCTGGAACTCAGATCATGATCGGTGCGCGAGAGGCGTCGAAGTCGCTCCTGCGGGGTAAGAACATCGTCGTGTAAGTTGATCGGCAGATAGTCTTCCTCCATTGGAAAATTGCTATCGTCCCAGTCATCCAGAGCGGTGGGTCGTGGCACACTTGCCGAGAGCATCCGTGTCTTAATGGGGCGTTGGGAATGAAGGAAGCGTGGGCCCAGTCCATCTTCTGGTAGGGTAGGAGGCGATGACCCAATGAAAGATGATTTCCTGAGATCGGATCCGTAAGCCGTGTCCCGAAGATTTCGCAGGGCATCTGATGGTGCGCCCATTCTTTGTGCTGGAGGCGACAGTTCTAACCCGAACTTCGAGGGCATGGAAGCCGCAACCGGGCCATACCGAGCCGCGTGCGAAATGCCTTGGCTGTCAAACGACGCGGGAAGAGGAGCATCCAGTGCAGTCAGATGGCGGTGATCCGGCGACATCGGATATCGTATATCGTCGACAGGCGACCCATACTTGGAATTAGTGTCGGATGTCAGTCCAGTATCGATAGTAGGAATCGCATCATAGGGCAGCTGTTGCGGAGGTGGTGACTGGGGCGGAAGTTGAGGGGCATATCTTGGATCATGGCCGTTCATCCGCTGCTGCGACAAAACAGAGTTGGTCAAAGCAGAATCCTGGTTCACGTAGGCTTGCGGATTAACACGACCACCCAAATTTAGGTGACCACCACCCAGTCCCATCCCTGGGTTGGGGCGGTTGACACGTCGGCCGTCGGGCAGAATATGCGCCAGCGCACACTTCGCTCCGAATTTGCAGTTACCCTATATCCAAAGCACAAGCTGTCAGCCGTCGGAGGGAAGTCTGGAACACATAAGGCTCATGATAGGCGGCCGAGCTATCTAGTACCTTGGTGAAATATTTACAAGGCGCATAGTCTATTGCTGCATCGGTGGAGTGAAGAAAGGGACATGCAGGCCCGGCCTGGCAAGCACCCTGGCGGAAGAATTTGCAAGGCACATGCTTGGTATCTGAGTTGGGACAGTTATACAAGCGTTAGCGATTGATCATCCTTGGGGGGAAGGTGTAATGAAGTCAATGACGGGAGGAGCACAAGTGAAAGGAAACAAACCGAGTCCAAATCCCTCTATGATGCTGTACAAGAAGCAGCGCGGGGAGCCAGGGAGAAGGAGGGGGGAGGCAGAAGGGAGCAGATCGGTTGGCGGGGGATGGGGAGGAGACATGCATGACTTACTGCTTTGATTGGGAGGACTGCGGGCAGCCATGTCGAGGCCGGAGGGATTGCGGGAATGACCGTTCTGGAGTGGTTGAGGACCGGAGGGGACCGGGAGAGGCGCGCGACCTTTCATGCCACTCAAAAAGTGATTTGAGGTGCGAGTCGAAGAGTGGGAAACCGGAGCGATGGCGGCTGTGAAAGAAGGACAGAGAGAGGAGGAAGAGGGGGGG